ACACAAGCCGACGCACAAGCCGACGCACAAGCCCAAGCCGACGTCGCACACGGGTGGCGCCAACAAGCGCTGGGAGCAGTGCGGCGGCAAAGACTTTTCGGGCTCCACGCAGTGTCTCGATGGCGACAAGTGCCACAAGTACGACGCGTGGTACTCGCAGTGCATTCCTGCCAAGCCACACAGCAGCTAAATGAATTAATCTACAAACACCTATATTTGTACCCTACACTAGTACTGAAATGCTTGCGCAGTTGGTACTGCAGCGCACAATCCATTGCAGCAACACGACGCAATGACCGAGTGGAGGTGGCGCGAGAGGAAGCGGTCGAGGGGCCGATGCCACGGGATACCAAGCTGCAAGATGACAAGTCAAGAGAACGCACAAGAGGAGGGCATAACTAGAATGGATTGCAAAGCTATGACACAGTTAGGAAGCAGTATGCTAGTACCCTGTCCTAGGAACACGCCTTCATCTTCTGGGTTATGTCAGGTCGGTCGTGACGAACAAGTGCTTGGAAGACGAAGGACAAACGATAGAGATGTAGAAAGCAGGCTGACGACAAAGAGGGAAAAGAGCTGCCTCTTGGCGAGATAGCCTGACGAACGGGTAGAAATTCATGCTACAACGGGTTGCCGATCGCGATCTCTGGCTTTATGGACGTTTGGCTCTCTTGCCGAGATGCACTTGCATATATCAGCCAAGTTGAGGATCGGAGCAGATTTGTCTGTGGTTTGTGACGGTGTTCCATGGGTTGAGCCTGCAATCGTCCGGCCGCTTCGAGGCGCCTTTGAAGTTGTACACGCGTCCTGTACCAAGTTGCTTCGGGTTGCGACACGAAGAGTGCTCAGGGGCGAAAATGGGCATATTGTGTGTTGCAAGTCGACACACGCTGCATCGCGGCTTGGCCGTGGGACCAGAATGGGTCTGTTCCACGTCTCGTCCATCAAAGAGGAAGCGTAGTCCAAGACTAGGTGACCAAATCGATTCGCGGCGGTATCCAGTTGTCAACATGATCGAAAACTCAATAGATAGTCGTGTTGACAAAGATATACGCATTGGGACGCTCTACCAGCCGCTGCGCTGGGTAGGGAGGCACTGCGAGTACCACGCGTCAAACTTGTGGCACACCGTACCCTGGACACAGTCCTTGTTACCAGTGTAGTCCTTTCCGCCGCACTGTTCCCACTTGGCCTTTTGGCCCGAGGACGGCTGCGACGTCGGCGTGCTAGTGGGGGCCGTGCTTGGCTTGTCGGTCGGGACGTCGGTAGGCTTGTCCGAAGGCTCGTCAGAGGGCTCATCGCTGGGCTCGCTCGATGGCTCATCGCTGGGCTCATCGCTGGGCTCGTTCGATGGCTCATCGCTGGGCTCATCGCTGGGCTCGTCCGATGGCACATCACTCGGTTCATCCGAAGGCTCATCACTCGGTTCATCACTCGGTTCATCCGAAGGCTCATCACTCGGCTCGTCACTCGGTTCATCCGAAGGCTCGTCCGAAGGTGCCTCGGTCGGTTCAGCCGTTGGCGCACTTGTGGGCGCGTCGGTCGGGGCGTCCGTGGGAGCGTTCGTGGGAGCGACTGTCGGCGCAGTCGTGGGCTTGGGGCCGGACGTCGGCGACGGCGACTTGGTCTTGGGCCACGGCGTCGTCGGCGGGTACGCGCTCGTCTGGCACGAGAGGTTGTCGCCGGGCGAGACGCCGAGGAGGTCGCAGAACTTTTTGTAGCTCGCAATGCGCGTGAT